TTATTTAAAAGCTTCCCCCCCCTCCCCCCCCCCCCCCAAAAAAAAAAAATTAATGGAAGATTTCATTTCAGGTCCAATGAAGTTTTTCAGTCAACCTGAAATGATTCTTTCCCCTTAGTTTTTCGGTTCTGCTAATGAACCAGAAAATCAGTTACTTTCCCAGCTCTTTTTTTAATGTCTAGAGTAAAGCTGAATGAAATTTAGTAAAGCTCCAAAGCAGGTAAACATCAATGAGTGTTTTGCTTCCTCCCCGCCCCTCTCCCCCTGTAGTTTTCATGCAGAACTATAAATGTCTGTTACTGAGCCCAGGTTCTTTCTAAAAATTCATGAACCTCAGGAAATTTTCCAGTCAGATCGGCTTGGGGGTTGTAATGTAATGCAATACAAAACTGGATGCATTTCAGGAATTTTTAGTTCAGACATTTCATACCTCTCTGCTTTATCATCTTATTGCAGGGTAAATGTGAAATTCCAGAACTCTGAGTTGGGCAGCAAATTGACATTATAACCATAGACTTATGGGCCATATTCTGCTCATCTTACCTATGCACGTAGTGCCAATGGAAATTTCCTGTGCACAAGAAATATGATACTGGGCTCTAGGTCTATTTTGATAGCGTCAGCCCTTGCTTGTTTTACCCAGTCCTAAGTAAGGAGTCTTTTTTTTTTTGACTCAGCTGAGAATTTTCCATGATAAGAAAAGCATGATCACTGTGACAGTCTGTTAGTAACCTAAAATATTTTTTCTCTTGTAGATATTTAGCAAAATAGACAAAGAGCAGAATACTGAGCTGGTACAAATTGGCTTTGGATTTGGTCCAAAATATTAAACAACCACATGAGCTTTGGCATAGCACTAGTAGAGCCATCTTTGCCATTCTTTCAGGTGAATTACTGTTGTTTATGGTGCCAACTGGTTTGAGAAACTCCTGCTTTCATTCCTTTGTGAAAAGTTAGACATCAGCGTTCCACAGTGAAACAGCTGCTTTTTAAAAGGAGCTGAAAACATTAAACTGGAGTGATGCTGGATACCTGGAAACCTGAACTGAAAATACACCTTTTATACTTATTGTTAACAAGCAAATCATTTCACGGTAACTGATTGATCATTTATATGAGATTTTTCTCTTTAGAACAAAGCAAATGGGTAAAATACCTTCTGCTGAGATTCCACTATTATACTGCATTCATTTTAGCACTATAGAAGCACAGACATTATAGATGAAAAGGAGTAATTAGCTTATCTAGTCCATTCCCTAATAATGTAGTATTGTTCCCTATACTCCATTTCTGGTGCTTTGCTAAGTGGTATAACATTACACTTCTAGAAAATGTTCCATGCTGAAGTTTTATATTTTATCCAAAAAAAAAATAGTGAAAGGTAGTGCTATATGGAGTAACAGGAATGAACAATAAATGGGGACATTTCGCTCTGGAGACATGTATTTGCTCTTGCTGTGAAACTGCAGCAAGATGGAATCTTCTTGACAGAATTAAATTTCATCCTTCAGCAATCAGTATAGGGAAAGGTGACATTTCCCAATTCTTGTTTTAAATTCATCCAACTCTGCAAATCTGACTATCAGATTTATACACTAGTCTCCCTCCATATAAGGTTATCTATAGTGCAGGGGCGAGCAATTATTTTGGACAGAGGGCCACTTACTGAGTTTTGGCAAGCCATGGAGGGTCTCATGACAGGCGTCAGGGGCAGATAAATATGAATTTTCTAAATTTTTTAGGGGCCCCACGGGCCAGATAGAATGGCCTGGCGGGCTGCATCTGGCCTTGGAGCTGCATTTTGTCCACCCCTGCTGTAGTGTGTTATAATGAGCTCTATCCTGCTATTATTTCCCACGCAAAATTCCTGTCATCTTCACTGAGAGTTGCATCAGACATGATGGAAGGGAACATCTACTGTTTTATGTGTGCTTTCATTTAGCTTTTGCCTGCTCTTGAATCACCTGAGGGAAATATTCAGATGGTGCATACATAAATATTGTACTTGAAAGTACATTGGAACACATTCACTACCCTTTTGGTGGTACTAGGGCTTGATCCAAAGCCCACTCAAAGATCTGCACTGATTCCAGTCAGCTCTGGAATCAGTACTTTTGCCATTAACAGGAGCCACCCATGCACAGATTAAGCAAACTAAAATACTTTTTTTGCAGGTCAATCCATTACATAAAGCCAGCAAAGCCATGTCAGCTAACCTCAGACACAAATACTCTCTTTCACACGCACACATTTAAAGGGCTCCAGTGATTGCTTATAATTGCACATAATAAACAGTTCTTGGAGTATGCTGTTTGCATACTGAAGCAATCTGAACTTACCTCCTTGCTCATCCAACATAACCAAAGTCCTGATACCAGCATCTTTACTCTACATTCCAAGAGTGGTTCCAAGATAAGGAAAAAGAGAAGGATAAAAAGAGAGAAAAGGGGGGCGTGGGGAGAGAGAGAGAAAGAGAGAGAGAGAGAGAGAGAGAGAGAGGAAAAAGAGAGATCAGTGAGAGAATAATTAGTCTTAGATATTGGGATTTAAGAAGACAAAAGAAAATCAGTGAAAAGAATGACAATAGCTCATAGGTCATAAGGGCTAGTGGAGTAATCAGAAACTCTTGTATGAATGGGTACTGGATGGGAAACCAAGTATTCTCCATTGCATTATAAGCCTATCAGTGATCTTTTGGATACTGAGCTGAGTTGTCCTGACTGGAGCTGAGTTGGCCTGGCCTTGTTAACCTGGCCTATCTGGAGCTGCCACTGCTACCGGGTTGGGCTGGAGCTATGCCCAGCCAGGCTGGAGTGGGGAGGGAGCCTGCCTGAGCAAGGCCATGGTGAGGAGAGGCAAGGGGTGGCTGGAAGGAGGCAGGCAGTATCTGCAGCTCTGACCCCAGGTCAGGGTTGAGGCTGGAACTGAAGCCTCAGTAACTGCATGCTGCCCCCTCTCCCCCCTCCCCCCGCCACTTTGTACTCAATTCCAAGGTGAGAGGCTTTCCCCCTTCATATTAAATGGCAGTGGGGGGAACATACCTCATCTTGGAATCAAGTAAATATGCTATTTAATGTGAACAGACAACAGCTTTTTAGGTACAAAGGTTTAATAAATTTAAAGTCCAAGCCAAATCTCAACTGAATCTAGTGGGAAGACTCCCATCAGCAATGATGGGGGGTTTTTACAGATAGCATTTTCAAAACAGCTCAGTGTTGACCTTGCTTTTTTCCTACTGAGGGTGAGGGGAGGTTTGCCATCCTCTTCATTAAGAGCAGAGGTAGGTCAAAGCTGAGTACTTTTAAAGATCCTGACTACCTCTTCCAATGGAAAAGCATCCTCGACAAATGTGGCATTTGCATTTACTGTCCTTGTTTTGTAACATGGTAATGTGGTATTATTTCTAGGTGTTTTTCAATACTAAGCTGTATTTCATAGCTCTTTTTTTAATTTAGTAAAGGAAAAGCATCCTGCTCAGTACAACAATAATGATAATGAATAATTAATAGTCTAAATTTCCGGTGTCTGTTGCATTTCAGGAGTCAAGCAAGCAAGACTACTGCAGACTATTGACACATTGGTAATAAATAATGGTTACTGGCAAGGGGTCTCCTCTAAGTGCACAGGAAATAGTTGCACTGCTTCATCAACATCTATTTACTTAATAGCATGATGCCCCTATGTTGCAGACAAGGATTGCTGTCTCCATTTGGCGGACACATTGGAACTCAGTTACAAGCCCAAGGATGTGCTGGAACTCTAGGAATGCCAGGGAACCAGAACCCAGTGCCCTGTCTCTTATTTTTGTGTTTTTGCCAAAAGTATCCTTCCTCCATAGAGGAAACACAGAACTCGGTCTTCCAGCATTCAATATCCTGAGGCAAATATTCCATGCATACTGCTTTTCTTGTAATGGCCAGCTTCTGCCTCTGTCTGGAAACTAGGGTGGCTGTCTGTGCTGCCTACCAGGCTGTTGGCTGCCCAGTCCACAAGCTCCTTGTGCTGAGTGCCCTGAGGCAGTCTGGCAGCATGTGCAGCGCATTGGCTCAGCTGCGCAACTGACTTCCTAACACACTCGGGGACTGCTCAGCTGTCAGAGCCTGTCCTGCTCCTCTCTGTGCTCAGGCCAGTCACAAGCAATATGAGTGCCTGTACTCCTGTTTCTGTCCCACCCTATCTACTGAACTATAGCCAGCAGGTGGCTGGTTTAAAAAAAAATGTCCACCTGCTTCTCTCATCTCCCTTTCAGTGAATTCAAAAGGAGAGTGAGGGTGGAGAAAGGAGAAGCCAGCCACATTCTTCTTCCCCAGGCTCCCCTGAGCCCTACAGCTGTTCATTTCTGGTCCTCTGGCAGGCAGCATCAGATTGCTCAGAGGGGTACTCTGGCTTCTCCTCTCTCCTTCCTTGACCTCTTGCTCATTGACGCAGTCTGTACTCTCAAACATGGTTCCCTTCCAAATGTGGGCCCCTGAGGACCTGCAATTCTGTTTGTGATCTGACAAGTATTGTCAGTTTTCATCAAACCTGTTAGGCTTAGAAAAAGCCAGATACAGTTAAATACCAAATACAGACATCAGTGTCTGACCCTCTGGTCTTTGCTTGGGTACAACCTCTGTGATGGCCAGAACCAAAGAATTTAATAAACAATAAATATGTGTTTCCTAGAGGCATTTGGAATTTTTGTCTAATATAAAGCTTGTATTTTTGTAACCCGCAAATGTGACTTGTAACTGTTTGTGGAACTGACTAGGCCTCAAAGACAAAGCTATAGCTGTGAAATTAGCTGACCCAATGGTTCTTTCTTGCTCAGAATCTAGCCTTGATGATGATTAAAAACTGGATTCAACTGCCTGGCCTACCCAGCACATTCCAGGAAAGCACATCTCAAAAAAGCATAGTCAGAGAGTTCTAAAGGGGTTGGATTTAGGCGGAGTAATGTTAATTTCAAACCTGAAGATGCTGCATTGCAATTTGCTTATTGGATAAACCCAAGTCTGGGTAGTAACCTTTTATAATCATTTTTAACACCTTTTAATTCCATAGGGCAATAGCTATAGAACAACACTGTGAGTGGCTCAAAAGCCAACAGATTAGCATAAGACTAGGTATAAAAAGCATGTGCATCAGATGACCAGTAGGAAGGAGGGAACAGGACGGTAATTGCTGTTCCAAGCCCGGACTTTGGACTCCCAGTGTGAGTGATGATCGGATCCTGATCAAGGGACCTTCCCCGGTAATCCCTCGGACAGTGTCAATTGGGGATGCCTGATTTCACTGGAATCACCTGGTGCGCACCTGGCATTGAGGGACTGCCGATAACTTGCCGACCCGTGTCTGTCTATTTGTTGTTTTCAAGAGCCAGTGGCTGATAGCGTCACAGTGCCCTGCTAGCCTGTGACACATTGATCTATTTATCTGTTGTTATTATTTACTATTAGCTCTTTAATATTGCATTATCTGCTTATCACATTTATCTTTCTGTT